CCCATCGTTCTATAGGTATTTGAAGAACTTGTAGCAATCCGCCACAGTTTAATTCTTCGTATTGTTAGCCGACACTGGGCAGCTGGTACATAATGATAGGTTTCTTTTTTGTGAGTGTAAAACACTTAAATACACCAGTTCGACATATAGTTTATTTTTTTAATTGTTTTTCCAATATAAAGCTACTGATAATAAAAAGCATATATAGACTTTGTTTTAATTATTTAATAAATGCCATCTTTTATAGATCATTCAGTCTCACGTAAATAAAACTAATAGTGAGTAAATAATATATATGTATTATCTCATCTTTTTTTTGGTACCTTGACTTATGATGATGTTGTTGAAATGTTTAAATCTAAAATGGAATTATTATTTTTTAAGAAGTTTGGTGTATTGTGATGTAATCTTTTATTAACATTAAAAACACCCTCCCCCCTATTTTTTGGCACGATTAAAGATGAAGTTGGAGTCTTTATTTTTTGGTTTAGCTGATCAGCTTCGAAAACACAACAGTTACCGTGAATACAGAGTTAGTTTAGCCTATCTTAAACTCCAACCTTTTAATTTACAGTAACACAATGGACCTGAAAATAAATTGTGATATAATCTTTGAGTTATTTTTTCATACCAATTTATACAACAGTGTTAACCCTATGTACATATGGGTTGGGGTCAAAGTGCACATGCCATGACCTTTTACAGAATGTCATTAAGCGTGATATTACAGATTTGTTGTCAGTGTTATCAACTGTTTATTTTACCATAAATTACTGACTTAGCAACGTTTCGTGATAAAAGAAAGTAACTAACAGAACAATATACAGGGATACTGACAAAAACTGTAGATATGAATTTCAGAGGTTCTACAGGTTATTGGACAAAAGTGTTTTTACTCTTGAGCTGAACATTATCTTACACTCTGACCTTTAAGGATCTGAGTTGGACTGCTGTTGGCAGTTCAGTGACATATGTTGTGTACAACAGACTCGTACATTTGATTAAAACCATGCCACATTTTATGTAGTAAACTTGGAAGTATCGTCAATATTACTTACCCAATACAGGGCTGGTTCAATGAAGTTTACCCTGTGCTCGTTCAGTTAATTAATGTGAATAAGTTTCTAATATTTTAATTATGCTGACCCGATCATGTAGACAAGTGAATTATTTTTCATAATTAATTGAGAATATCTAATGTACTAAACAGGAGAATTCCACAGATGATGTAATTCTTGTTTTTTTTTTCTCGTATAATATTTGAAAACTTTCATTTCACTTCTAGAACAGTCACTCTACCATCGACTTCAAGAACCAATCCAGGAGACAGTGAAAATGTTGACGTTAGTCTAGACAAAGATGACTGTAGGCTAGACTTGACAACTGAAATCTTGTCAAAATTATCTCTTGGTCCAGTTACAAAGATGAGTGAACAAGAACTTGAAGAATTTCAACTGTGGTGTGCTGGTCAAACACTGGTTGTTCCGAGATGTCACTGTTGGACGGCCAATGGAGATGTTCTAGTTGCATGTGATAGTGGATTGATTATCAGGGTATTCTATCTTAATGACAGTATACAGTATATACCACAAACTTTGTCAATTGTCTCTATAATCAATGCTTATTCGTCATAATCTGGGTCATACCAAGGGTAGTGCAAGCAGTGTGCCTGCACAGAGAACCAACCTGTAGGGATTGCCAGTTTCCATCTTTGAAGGCAATGATACATTAAATTTTTTTTTGGAGGAGGGGGTGCAGAATTTATATCTTTCACAAAGTGCCATCAACGATCGGTACAGCCCTGATTTTTGATAAATACGTATATTGTAAGACATGACTTGAGTAGGTAGAAAATATAGAGAAAGTGTTTTCTCCAAGGCAGAAAATGTTGGTTACCGAGGTATTTATTATATCTTCAGACTATTAGTAACAAAAAAATAATAATTGTTGCATTTTACTTTTTTTTTTTACCCATTAAGATAGATATCTCAGTAAAGATCTTAAATGAGCAAAAACCGTAAGATGGCATTGCATTATAAGTTGTAACATTAATAGAATTATACTGAGAAATTACTTCTTATTCTCATGCTTCTGTTTAGAGAAACACGTTTGACAGAATTGTTTTTTCACCCTCTGCAATCTAACTCATTTATTATACACATGTGGTATTAAAGTTTATTTGTAAATTTCTGGTAACCTCACAGTTTATAAGACGTTTTAATTGCTTGAGTTTCAGCTGAAAGTCACTTTTTTATCAGCTTACTTCAAAAAAAAACATGAAGAATCTCCATAGATTACTTGATTTACAAAAAAAATTCTTCTCTTGTGTGGTAGGTGTAGCATTTAACAGTTTTATCAATTAAACCTCTATTTATACTTTCGGTGGTTTAGCCTACCAAAGATGCCTGCACTTTGATTGTTATCATAACTGTTTATCTCAATAAAAACAAACCTGAATCTAAACTTGTATAACTAACTCTTTAACAGAAAAAAACAAATTAGTCTTGTACAAGTTACTTATCACTCAAAATGTAGAACTTGCATTATTGTAGACTCTAGCGTAAGGTCATTTTACAGCTGCTTTACGAATAATTTGTGTTTTTTTGTGTGAAACTTGTTTTCAGATTCATTCCTTTAAATGGGCATACAGAGAGTGACTGAACAATCAAGAGACGTTTCATCATATCCCCTCAGCAACTGAAGCTTACTTATGTAAAGAATACCGATACAAGGGAGCATCTCACAATATTTCCCATAATGGCTGAAATATAAAAAATTCCTTTGCTCAACCTTGTGCCCACCCCTTTAAGATGGTGATTTGATACCTTAAATTAGCTGGAAACAAAACCAAGCTAGAGGAGCACTCAGTAAGATAGCATACCTCTGCCACATATTTGGCACTTAAAAAATACGAAAATGTGTCCATATGTCCATTGTTATCAATGAACACAAACAATTTTCGGCAGAAAAATGACAAATAATATTTAACGTATGTCCACCAAGTTTCATCTCTAATTGAGTTACAGTGCAAAAAATAATGTGAAAAATTGGTCCCCCCCCATGTTAAAAGATAAGGAGTTCTTGAATTTTCGTGACCTTGACCCTCCCAAAACTTATCACTCCTAAGTTGAGTCATAGTCCAAATGTATATCAACATTCGTCCAAATCCATTCAGTTGTTTTTGAGAAATCTTTCTGACAAACACACACACAGGGGTGGAAACATAACCTCCATCCACTTTCGATGGTGGAGGTAGTAACAGATCACCAGTGTCAACTTGATATAAACAGTACACTCTTTCAGGTGAATGGTGAGTCTGCTGTTGTAACAGAGTGTCATCAGTTACAGTGGATTGAATCGCAAGAAGATAAAACTGGATCGGAAGAAAACTGTCACGTGGTCTCATCAATAGCCCTTCACAGGGATGGACTCTTTATTGGTGGAAGGGTAAAAAGTTTTTCTGTAAAGTTCAAAATATCTGCACATTTTAAATTAAAAACTCAAATGTATATATCTTTATGAGAGTTAAATGCGTATGTTTTTTTATTGGGGGCATGTTGAATCAAGGGTTTTATATTTCGGCATGTACTTAGACATGCATGGCTTAATCTTTGAGACAAGCATATGACTACTGGCAGGATCAACCAGGTATCTTTCATCCTACGGCGTTCGACTCTCGCACCGACGGCGAGTAGCAACACCATT